TGCATTGTTGTGTGCGTCAGTGATATTTAGTCTACGAGGAAGTCGTGCAATGACAAAGGTTCTGCCTTGCTCGAAATGCAAGCTGCGATTAAATGCGTGAATTTTTTTTACGCGTTATTTTTTTCTAATTAATCATAATTAATACGTTAAAGTCCGGCCCTAGTTTTAATCTTTATTTATTTAATCTTTGTTCTTGTGAAGTGCTTTGTGATTTTTAGGGTTAGGGTTGAAGAATAAAAACCCGCTCTGGTGCTGGCGGTTTACCAAGCAGTCTGTGAAGTCATGGTGAATGGCTCAGTTTTTGAGAGCTCCTGAAGATAAAAACCAACCTTTTCTGCTGATTCAGCTCTTCTTTAGGAGACTGACAGGAATCCTGTTCCGCTTCCATTTTTGGGTTCTATACGTCATTTAAAGTGCAGACTAGATAGGAAAGAAATCACTTTTTCACAACTGTGGAGATTAAATTCCTTGCTAGCTGTACGTGGAGACTGGGTGTTGGTGTTTACAGTCCATGGAAGGAGGCATCCAGACTCGAGAATTCCTGGATGGGGAGGAACGGGGCAAGAGGACGCAGCAACTACCCCATACAGCCGTTTGCAATAGGTTAGCAGAGCCAAAGGGGTAGAGGAGGAGGTTTTATGAGGAAATAACAACATAGCATGGTCTAAAACTCCAAAATGTGGATTTTGCATGGTATATTCTTTTTAACACTTAATTCATCAAATATGATTAAAAACATCCAATAAGGTTCCTCAAGTTTTATTCCACCCAAAACGTTTTCTTCATAGGAGAAACAAAGAAATCAGGAGAAACACGATTTTTAAGACTAATCATGTTTATGACTCTAATTTTTACTAAATATCACCAATCTCTGCTAGAATAATCTGCATTATTAAAAATAATAAAATTATCTGTGATAAAAGCATCTTTATAGTGTGAGTTAGTTGTTTAAGCAGATGCCTTTGTTTAATAATCTGAATCAAACCAGTTTAATCATTTAATAAAATTATCCAGTTAAATCGTTTACCAAACAGTTTCATGATGTTTTCCAGCTCAGGAAAACGCCAGAGACACTTATGGGTCTGTATGTTAACACAGCCAAACTCCTGACTCCTAATCCGTCCCACGAGTTTTTGTTTAACTGTTTCTTTCACACAAATCTAAAGAAAACCTTTAGTTGTTAGATTTAAAGAACATTTATTTTTCAACAGTTGCTCTGTTTTCAGAACAGATCCAGCCTCTGTTGGTTCTGTATTCTGTGAGATAGAGTCTAAAGAACTGATTGTTCCTGTCTATCAGGTCTGAGAACAGAGTCCCACAGTCTCAGAATAAAGTTCATTTAAGGAACGATCTGATCTCATTATTATAGGAACACAAGGAAAAGGAACATCACTACAATAAAAGAACGTTTGTTTCTTTCATATTATTGTGAGAGGTCATGTGACTAAACACCAGGAGCCAAGGGCGTCAGTTTGTTTTCAGAATTGCTGGGGACAATAACCATACACTTGAGTGGGGTTTAAAAATTGCTGGGGACAATAAAGTAGGCTAGCACAGGGGTCGGCGGCTCTGGAGCCGCATGCGGCTCTTCCATCCGGCTCTCTGTGTTTGTAAAATAATGAATGGATATTTAAATAAAATGCTTTATATTTTACTGCATTAATTTTACATCTGTATGCCAATTCTAAATGTAAAGATTGTCTGCGTAAACCTGAACAGGTCCAACCCGGTCTTACTGTGAGACCGGGTTGACGCGTCACGCTTGTGCGTAATCATAGGAGCTTTATGAGCTGAAGAGGATGTGAGATTCTGGGATTCTCCTCAGACGGCTCCTGGATGCGTCGCCACATTGGAGACAGGAACAAGCGCTATTCAGCCAAAGTTTCATCATCAGGGAACATTTTCTATAAGTGACAAGTCTCTCTGAGAGACAGGGTTTGGAAAACACTCGCTTCAGTGGGAGGAACCTTCCCACATGCGCTCTGGGTGGCTCTGGGGTTAATCAAGTTTAATTGTTTCTCTTTGCAACAATCTTCACAAGAAGGCAAACCAGTTAAACGGCAGGTTACATATATTTCCATTTGACTGTTTATTTTGACAGATGAACTCAAGGATGTTGCTTGGTTTGAAAGAATTACCCCGACGCACACTGATGCGCATGGATGAGCTGACATTTTAATCATTGACGCACATCGCGGAGGTAAAATATTCCCATCAGAACATCAGAGCTTTATACTGGTTAAGCGTGGCTTGGAGCGCCCACGGTGGACAGTGAGCTGAAGATCTGAGGGGTTCGCAGCGCAGAACCACGGTGCATGCGATGATTTCCTCCCACTGAAACAGTCTGGAAACCCGGTCTCTCTGAGGGATGTGTCACTTGGAAAAATGTTCTTTTTATGAAATTATGAAACTTTGGCTGAACAGCGCTTGTTCCCATCTCTAATATGGAGACGCATGACGCGTAGAGACATTTGATTACGCACAAAGTTTATGTGGAGCAGAAGCAGTCGGGCCACGGCAGGTGAAACATTCCTAGCCTACATGAAGGGAAACAGTTTAATTGTAACATTAATACGTTACTGGACACGCTGGTCTGGTTGGTTAGACCAGTGTTTGAAGTGGAAAACACACACACACACCAATTAAAATAATGCTGATAGCGTGGACTAGAAGACAGGTGATGGTTTACGTATTTAAATGATGATCAGGCTGCTGTAAAATGTAATCTCCATCCTCATCCAGACACAATTATCCTCTATTCTTTCTCTAGTTGCTCTGCTCTTGTCTGGGCTGATCAGCTGATGGTGCGCGCGGCGCGCCTAACTAGCGGCTGATGCACATTTTACGCATTTGGAGAGGTGGGCTGGATGCTGTGCGTTTACTGGAAGATGGTCCACTTAACGCACGGGTGTAGACTAAATATTAATGACAAATGAATGAAAATTAAATTGTGAGTTTTTACTTCATATTTTATAAATAAAAATGATGGGGTAAAACATTTATGACATCTTTTTAAACTAAATTTTGTAGCGCGACCTGCCTGCTTCACTTAAGTCACTGCTTATTAAGGTCCGTCCAGAATTACTGTGGGAAATGGGTAATAATGGCTCTTTGATGGGAACAGGTTGCCGACCCCTGGATAAGATCTGAGCTGGTAAAACAAAAATCCTCATCAGCAGGCGTTTTTGAAAGTGGGGGGGACACAGCTGCCAATCACAAATTTTGCCGGGGACATGTCCCCGGTGTCCCCGGTTAAAATGACGCCTATGCCAGGAGCTGACGACAGATTGTGTGGACCTGAATCGCTGAAGAAAATAAGTGAACGTCTCCATCTGCTGGCCTGGAAACGAGATTTTTATTTAATAAAAACAAAATCCACACTATAAATATGATGGCGTTTTTCTGTAGTCGGCTCTGATGTGATTATTTTAAAAATCACAAACTTGCTTAATTTCTGTATAAATTTATTTAAACCTTTCAATGCTTAACCTCTGTGCGCACGTGTGTGTGTGTGTGTGTGTGTGTGCGTGGGGGGGGGGGGGTATTATTGTAAGGTGACAGTAATGTAAACTATGTACAGTTGAACTTTTATTCAGACATCTTCATGTTTTAACCTTAAATGGTATAAAGTCTAACCTCTTTAAAATCCTGGATGAGTAATTAAATAAAGTTTTTAAACCAAAATAAAAATGTCGGTCTACTTTGAATCCTGCTGTAACAACACGTGATCTCCACCAGGGGGCAGCAACCGTTCAGTTAGAAAAACCTAATGAAGAGTTTTGTTCTCTAAAGGAAAATAAGTAAACACGTTTTTATAAAATAATATGATTTCAGTGATTTGGTGAAAACATGAAGGGACACGATAAATCAAAACATTCAGTACATATAACATCGGTTCAGTTTATTTCTAAAGCACCAAATCAGGACAAGAGTCGTCTCAAGGACCATCGAACAGTAAACACTCCAATACAGGCCAGGTCATTAAGCCAATCAGTAACAAGTCTCCTATATAAGGAACCCATAAGGTTGCGTCGAGTCACTGACTAGTGTCAAGAGTCTTTACAACAATCCTCATACTAAGCAAATCCAATCACAGGAAGATGTTTGTGACCCTTTAAAGCTGCTATAGTGAATCATCAGAAGATTTGGAATGCAAACACCACAAAGAGGAAAGACATGAAAACATGTTCTAAGCTCACTTATTTCGCTAATTTGCCGTTGCAGCTTTAACTCAGCAGCTGCAGCTTTATTCAGTCACAATGCTGCCAAAAGACTAAAGGTGTGTCTGAATGGAAAAGCATATTCATGAAACATTGTTCTAGTCACATGGATCATCCTGCTTTTAAAAAGCTTTATTTTTTCCTGTTCATTCAAACACATTTAAGTTCTCTTCTGGTACAGATTAATTTTCTAACTACACAAATAACTTATTATCTGAGGTTTATTAAAACAATCAGAATTTGTTGTAATTTTGAGCAGAAGTCCCTCCTGAGCTGCACTGATTCAGTCGGATGGTAAAATGAGTCACAGTGAGTCAAACCTGCAGCCACAGGCTGTTCTTCAGCCACTCGGACTCTTGTTTATGCTGGCTCTGTTTGCAGACTGATAGAAGCTGAAAACGGACTGGAATTAACTGCGTCTCAGGGTCACTGCTTCAGCAAAGATCATCAGAAATATTCCGTAAATGGGTTAAATCTGTAAAAACAGTCTTTGGGAATGTAAATGTTATCCAGATGAGTGGCCAGTTCTGTGCTAAACTCCTGATCCAGAATCTATCCAACGGTTCTCTGAACCTTCTGAATGGCTTCAACAGGTTTGATTTCCAGCATCAAAGATAAAGCTGCTGTATAAAATACAAGAAAGGTTTTTATGTGTGTTGAAAGTCTCCTGCAGCACAAAGATGGGAACCTTTTCCAGACAAGGAAACCATGAAGAGAGGGAATATCTGGGATTATGTTTTGCAAGATTAACGACACATTGTTTACTCGTCTTCCCTGCAGCTACGACACCAATCCTGTTCCAGAACAATAATCCCTGCAGAGCAAACAGCGTCCCAGCGTGGAGCGAAAGGAGGAGGTGGAACAGGGCGTAGCAGATGGTGACGCTGCAGCAGAACTTCTCCAGGTAGCGTCTTCATCACACAGAACCCCCCAGCAAACGCTGAACTGGGAACTCTGGGCTCATGCTGGACTTCAGTATGCAAATACAGAACTATGTATGGAGCTCCGACTGCAAAAAACAAAACCAGCAGCTGCTTTAAACACATGAATAAAACTGTTTAAAAATTATTTTTAGAAATAAATATAAACACATAAAATAAACCTAATCAAATATAAATGGCATCTTAATGTTTTAAATTAGAATTCAGCTGCTTTCTGAACATTTAGCAAACACGATAAAATGCATGTAATTACCAAAATAAAATTAGGGTGAATTTATCTCACCTCTACAGTCAGGAGACAGGAAGGGTTTTGGTGGTGTGTGGAAATATTTTTCTCTTTGAATAAACAAATATTGTCATCCCTGAATAACTCCAGCCAAGATGGCCGCCAAAGACACGAGAGAACGCTAGAAAAACCGACTCAGTTGTACTGATATGAGCTAAAACTTCACAAGCTGAGAATCAGTTACAGACTCTGAGTGCTAATACATAAAACATCCTTTTTAGATGCCAAACAGCTCTGGACACTTTTATTTCGACACCAAAATGAACAAAGATATTTTATTAATATGATCTAAAGATCACCTGTACCGCCTTTGCTCTGTGAGCTTAGCGCCAGCCTGTTTGCTGTGAAGTAGGGAAGCGGGTCAGATCACTACTTGAGGGGAAACTGGGCCTTTCATTCATACGTTGTTACTCATGATGAGTGGAGCTCGTGCTTCAGAAGGTGTTGCCTGCAGCAGAATGTCACAGCGCAGCAGAAACACCCTCAGAGAGGAGAAGAGGTCATCCCTAATCACAGGAAACGTCTGAAGGGCTGCAGCAGCAGAGTGGAGGACTGTAACACGTGATGCTGTGATGAAGAGGAGGCTGCTCGTTGAACCTCACATTCGTGTGTGTGGGGGGAGGTTTAACCCAGAATCCCTCTGATTGTGTTTGTGGTCTTTATGGAATCTCCAAATGTGGTCCAGGGTGTTTGCAGATGATGTGGTGCTGTTAGGATCTTCATCGGGAACCGGCTTCAGTTCAAGTTCCTAGGATGCTTTTCCTATTTAGGAGAGAGTCTCTGTCTGAAGTGGAGGAGTTCGACTATCTTGGTGTCTTGTTCCTGAGTGGTGGTAGGATGGAAGAGAGCTTCACCTGAGGTTCATATATAGCTGATCCGAGCTCAGCAAGGAGGCCAAGCTCTGGGTTTATTGGCCTGCCGTGGTTATGAGATTTGGATCATGATTAACAGAATTAGATCCCAGATGAAAGCATCTGAAACAATCTTCCTCCACAGGGCATCCATGGTCAGCCTTAGAGAAAAGGTTAGTAGCTGCACCTTCTGGAGGGAGCTCAAAATAGAGCTGCTGCAACTTCTCATCAAAAGGAGCCAGCTGAGGTGGCTGCCAATCACCATCTGGAAAAGAACCTGGGGCAGAAAGTCCTTCAGACCCCCTAAAGGGAGAGGTCTGGGCTTGAATGCTGAATGGCAAATGACCTGTTTTGATATAGCACCTTCTAGAGTCCTGCCCCCCAAGGTGCTTTACAACACAATCAGTCATTTACCCATGCACACACACATTCACACCAGCAACATCACACAGGTGGTTTTGAGCTACAATGTAACCACAGCTGCCCTGGGTAGATGAATGGATGGATGATGGATGGATGACAAATGGATGGATGGATGGGTGTGTGTGTGTGTGTGTGTGTGTGTGTGTGTGTGTGTGTGTAGGTGGGTGGATGTGTGTGTGTGTGTGTGTGTGTGTGTGTGTGTGTGTGTGTGTGTGTGTGTGTGTTGTGTGTGTGTGGGTGGATGGATGGATAATGGATGGGTGGGTGAATGATGGATGGATGAATGGGTGGGTGGATGATGAATGGATGGATGGATGCGTGGGTGTGTGTGTTGTGGGTTATAGGTCAACGAATAATTTGTAAGCTTTTACTTACTTTTTGGATTCTTCAATAAATTCGTAAATATGGAAATATTTACCGATTTATTAATTAATTAGGATATCCGGAGATATCCACGGGGCACCACCCCTTCTAACGGGGCACCACCCCTTCTAACGGGACAAATTGAATCCAAAACTCTTATCAGTCTCGTCTAAACGTTCCGTGAATCCTAACGAGCTGCAGTTGAATTTTATATCACAAACAAATCCACTTGAAGACAAAACTTAATTGAATAACATTTATTAACTAACTATTAACTATGATCACTTCAGCTCCTTCTGAAGCGTTTAGCCAATCAATATCAACCAACTTATTTTATCAAACAAATAACAATGGATTAACAATGATATGATAATGTGAACAATCTGGTGTGGGTAACCCAAGATGGAGGGGTTCTGAAAACCCAAAATGGCTGATGCTTTGTTCTGCTGACCACAGAAATCAAACCATGTGTGGGATGCATGTGTGTGTGTGTGTGTGTGTAAGCTGAGATGATGTCCAAGATGGCTGGTGGCTGGAGCAAATCAGACCAGCCTGTATGGAAGGGGTGTGTTTAAGGCAGACCCTCAGTGACGTGACTTTTCTTCTCAGATAGACACAAAAAAAAGGTTTAGCTCTTACTCACTCACGGTAAAACTTAACATTTCAGTAATGTGGCACGTTTCATGCACAGTAACTTAAACACTTCAAAGGTTTAAACCCGCTTCACAGAGCTCAAAGAAAAACAATAAATCAAAGGCAAAATTGAATATCTAAGCCTGTCAGCCGGGCCCAGCTTAAACAAACACAGATATCAAAATAATCAGACAAACAGACCTTACTTGGATGTTCTGATGGCAGTTTTGGTACGGAAGAGAGAAAAGCCGTTGGTATTTTGAAGCAATTCGCGCGGTGTGACTGCTTATTCTTAACTATAGGAGAAACGGGAGAAAAAGTTAAATAGAGGAAAACAAAAGAAAAAAACTCTTCTCTGATCGAACCCGAACAGGAGGCGTCCCCCACTGTTTCAATTGGCGTTCTCCGTTGATTAGATGGTTTTCCGCTGTTTTCCAGCCAGGCCTCGTGCCTGAGTCCGGAGCCGTAGCAACAAGCGTGTCCTTCACCGCCAGTTAAACTGGACAAAAGAACGATAAGTTTCGTTTTTCGCTGATTTTTATAGCTTTCAGCGTCCGGCAGGGAAACAGTGTGGCTCCCGCACACGCGCAGAACTTGTGTCCGGATATTCGGCGCTGCTTCCAGGAGCAGGGAATCCTGGGAAATGAAGTTGTAGCTGGCGCTGATGTTTAAATATGCTCTTCAGAGCGCAGATGACACAGTCTTTTGGAGAAATTACTGCATAGTAATTTCCACATGAGGGCATGCTGGCGCTGGAATATATTCCAGCTTTTCAGAGCAGATGATACAGTCTTTTGGAGAAAATACTGAGTAGCAATTTCTCATGAGGGCAGACCCTCAACAGTGTGTGTGTGTGTGTGTGTGTGTGTGTGTGTGTGTGTGTGTGTGTGTGTGTGTGTGTGTGTGTGTGTGTGTGGATGGGTGGATGGATGGATAGATGGATGTGTGGGTGTGTGGGTGGGTGGATGGATGGATGATGGATGGATGGATGGATGGATGGATGGATAATGGATGGGTGGGTGGATGGATCATGAATGGATGGATGATGGGTTGGTGGATGGATGGATGATTATAACATAATAATTCTTGCATCATGCTGATATAAATGGGTAAATTGACATAATCAGAGACCAAATCTAGTTTTAAAGTGAAATTTCTGTCATTTGCTTCCTCTCTCATCTCCTTTTCTTCTTATCAACCCTGATTTCTGTTTTCAAATCATCTTCCTATAAACATCTTATCTGTGATGTCTGGCTTCATAGGAGCAGCTTCTGTGAAACCCGAGATGCTTTTTTTGGGATTTGAACCTGAAGCTTCTGGTCTGATGCAACCTTTCAGCATTTCCCTGGTCCTGCGTCCCACCCACTGTTTTCCTTTTGGTCCAGTTTGTTTCGGGTCGGCAGCCATAACTCAGATCCAGAATGCCAGGGGTGACCTCACAGTCACAGGCGAGGGCTAATTACTGCTCTGCACGCTTCCGAACGTGGAAACAGCAGCTTCACAAATGACAGGAGGAAATGTCACTGACTTCTGGGTAACTTTAGACATCGTTGATCGAGCAAACACAGAGACGGATCTCAGCAGGATGGTTAAGAGCTGCGTTACTTTGTGTTCGTTAGTGTGGATTACTCAGAACATAACCGGTCACTAATAAGAAAACTTTTAGGAGTTGTGAATGTTAGATTATAAAGAAGTGACTTTACAAGCTGAGTGATAAAGCTCAGAGATGATCTGGTTAAAACCTTAAAAATAACTAACTGGTGTTTTTTAGTCATAAATAAAGAATAAAAAAAATCAAGGGTATTTTGAAGGTTTTAAAAGCACCTGTATCACAGAATCTGGACAAAATTATCTGAGAGAGATTAGAAAAAACAATCAGCAGGAGTAAGATCCGTTTCCGTGCAGAAAAATAACTCTAAAGAGGTGAAACTCTCAGCGGTGTTGTAGAAGTTTTGGTTGTATTTTCTGTGCCAGTGAGCGTTCAGGCCGTCAACATCAAAATCTGAAGTGTGAAGAGGTTCGGTTACAGATTATCAGCTTCACATTTCCTCTGTTCTACACCTCTGCTTCCAATTATCAAACTGTATTACTGCATCCATCCAACTGGAAATATTACTCACTGCTGCAGATTGGTTACTTCTCCTCCTGTAATGTCTCATAAAATGTCATATAAATGGAAATGATGTCAGTGACCCAGGTGGAAACAAGGCAGGAGAAGCTTCATCTGAACTCTAAACAAAGAGACGGATTATTACTGAGTAGGAAGAAGACTATTTTATTCTAACAAACTTCGGCTAGTTACAGAAGATTAATTTCGTCGTAAAACACTAAAAGGGATGAGCAGATGCTCAGGAAGGCAGCTGGTCTGTCTTCTGCAGCACTGGAGTCAGTGACACCAGTTCCTTTT